AAACTGTTTTGTTTTCATTTTCTTCGCTCCAATAAAAAATGAGCGGTGTCCTCCTGCAAACTTCAGAGGGTTAGGATTTTATTGAACTTCAATGGGTTTTTGTCATGTTTTCAAAGTTGAAATTGTTTAAAATTTAATAGAGATAAGTATAGAGGAGAAATGAGGGGAAGAAAAAATAAGAAAAAATTAAACACGAGAAACATCGTGCAAGTTGTAGGAAGAAGCGTTTTAACCTGAAATTAAAATTAGAGCAATGTTTTTACGTGAAAGGGGGACGTTCGCTGGCTCAAAACCTCACCACTGGTAGGCAGTGAGCCAACTAGCCATGAACCCCAAACATGGCATCCTATCCGAAGATAGGCTTAACTTGACACGGAGATGTTGCCATCTAATGAGTTCAGGCCTAAGAACTCGTTGGGATAACTTATACTCCCGCAAATATTCAAAATTTCAAATCAGATGATCTATGCTTTCCCATTTGTCATCAACAGATCAAATCTGTCTCTGTGATCAATTATTGATCTCCCGGAAGCTCTATTCTGACGTTAGCTTCCATGTTGTTCTGTAGTTTACTTCTTTGATTCTCTTATTCTGAGTTTATTCGTTAATTTAAAAAAATGTGTACGACCATACCACGTTGAAAATACGCCATCCCGTCCGATCTGGCAAGTCAAGGAACGTCGGGCCTGGTTAGTACTTGGATCGGAGACGGCTTGGGAATCCCAGGTGTCGTACACTTTTTCTTTTTTATGGCTCATAGAATACGATTTAACTATTTCATGATTTTGACACACTTGTTGGCAGTACACTTTGAAAGGTTTAGGATAATGTTTGAATGGAATATTTATATGTATGCCTTGTTGTTCTCCTTCAAGCTCTTCCTTGGTTCAATCCTCATTCTATGTAGTTCTGTTTGAAAAGGTTAAAGGTCTGCTATGTTAAGGTAGGTCTGGTGCTAACCACAAACAGCTTTTCCATATTTAAATAGTAATCGTTCCAACTTTTTTCTCAATGTTTAAGAACGGTTTTTGTTTCTCAGATATGGAGTGCTTCGATCTTGCTATCACATTACTCTCTTCTGACGGACATTTGCTCCAAGCGAAGTATAAGGAAGTGTCAATGACTATAGGTTCGTGTTGTTTCCATATGTTTTCTTGTTTATTTCTTTCGTAGGTATATAGCAATGATTGCGATTTCATATATAGTTAAGATGAAAACTATCCTTTATTGACAACAAGTTCATACTGTTTGGGACATTCAGACGATTGAAGCTCATACCATAGCAGCCTCTGCGGTATTTCAAACTCATTTTACTCCTTCTACTAGTTCATCAAGGGTCTTCTGCTGCTGCTCGTGCTTCTTCTAAAGGTGTTCAGAGAGAAGCCTCTTCGAAATTGTCTTTTTTTTTCAATTCGAGTTTTTCAGGAATGTTCTAAGTTAGGAATCGGTTTTTTAATTTATGGAGAAGCATTGTGCAGGCGAAGCTAAGAAGAGCAAAATCAACCTAGAGGTTTATAGAGGTTTGAAGTTTGAAATCTAATCTATGTAATCATAGTAAAGTTGGAGAAGGATATGTAACTCAACGACTTTGGAATGTTGAGGAAGTTTGTTCCTTGTTGGAAGAGGTTGAAGAGGATCGCGAGTCAGGCCAAAGAAGCTGCTTACACGAAAAAGTAAGTTATGCAATATAGTTATGTATATGATGAAACTGTATTAGTTAGAATCAACAGAACGGTTTTCTCTGATGACGTTCGGAGATGAAATTTCTTTTTGCTTGGTTGCCATTGGTTCCAAGACCTCAGTTTTTGG